ATCCGTCAATAAAATAGATGGTGAGTTACCGAGCATTTTCTGGTGCTCTTGTGCTTTTGCAGCTTCCCCCCTTGCTATTTACTGTTGCAGTTTAAAAGCATAAAGTTGAGGTTGTGGTTCTGGCGCAATAGCAAAGCTCATGCATCAGTTGGAGCTACCGTATAGGTTTAGATTCACCCAAATAGTCATTTAGATTAGTTAGTTCACATAGCTCGTCTTCCCAGTGGGACTCTTGTTTGTTGTCCTATGATAACACTTGATTCACTGTAACCTGAACCTCTAATACCTGATAAGAATCTGTGACAAGGATATGCTTCACAATTTGTATGCTTTTTACTGAGTCTGGTTTCATGCATTAAACATATGCTGCTTTTTGTTTACTAGAATGTGCTTGCAAATTTAGTTAGTGGGTTGTGCTAGCAGTCATTTGACTTAAATGTTTGGACTGAAAATGAATGCCAGGCCCTGCTTCTCTTAAATTTTGGTTCTACAAGCGAAGTAGCTGATCTTGGCCTACTTGTTAAGAAGTCATGATTGCACTTTGAATGTCTGGCCCTGGTCATATAAAAAGTGGCATGATATATAAGTTATTTTTGGTTTTCAAGAAAATGTATTTTGCTAGAACAGGTTGAAATTTGTGATTTGCTCAATAATGTGTTCTCAAAATAGTATGTGCCAATAATAAATTGGAGTGATATTCGTATTAGATATCTTCTTTAAGAAACTACGTAATTTACGATGATCTTTGAAGCTGAGTTTCTATCTTTTTAGTGCTTTGTATATGAACCTACATAACACCCTGTGATATGTGAAATTTGTGCTGCATATGCCATATCCTTTTGCATGTTTGTGCATATTTTTGTATGTATTTGTTTGCATTTTGACTTGCATTTGAGATGAAGAATCTATTGTGGTGCAGATATTTCGAAGCCCAGGCCTCTTAATATCAAACCTGAAGACAAAATTGGCATTCGGAAGTTCTCTATTGAAACTTTTGGTTCTAGTCACCAATCGGTGAATAAATCCCAGGTGATTAGATCCACTAAAGCTTCTTTGTCTCGTTTTTGGTGCTCTTAGGTATATTAATTGTTACTCGGTTCGGTAATTTTGAGAACTTAAAGTTTTGAATGATTTTAAGGTATCATCTATGAGAATGAACAAGGGAAATGGTCTATGGATAACAAGTAAGGTTCGAACGCCAGCAACAGGCGTTCTCTTCAACAGGTACTCTCAATCTTCCGACATATTTTTTTTGTGGACTGGAAAGTATATCTTTATGTTTCTCTTGTCTTGATTGGATTTTCCTGTCCCCAGTCAACCAGCAAATTTGGTCAGAAGATTTTCGACAGATTCAGGTTAGTTTGATATTGGAATCTTGGCTGTAAACTATATTATTTTTTTTTCTTATATTTAACTTCACAATTGCAAAGAATGCCTTGAGTTGTGACTACTCTTCTCTCCATGTTTTGTTGCTTCACATAATGTTCTGCTGAACATGCTGCTGTATTTCAGGCCTTCCACCACATCAAGAGATTGGAATGCCTTCGCTTTCACCAACAATGACAGAGGCATGTTCTTCAGACCATCCTTAATTTTGTATCTGCAACTATTATTCTTAGTGTTTGTTCCATGGATGTCATGTAGGGTAATATTGCAAGATGGTTGAAGAAAGAAGGTGACAAAGTTTCGCCCGGAGAAGTTCTGTGTGAAGTGGAAACTGTGGGTCTTTGTTCTAGTTCTTGTTTTATTTTCTTTTTCCCTATGTGTGTATGAGTGAGTGTGTCTTTGGATGATCTTATTTTGATTGAAGTAGTACCATATGTCTAATTTCTTTCTATTTTATGCCGCTTGATGACTTAAGGACAAAGCCACAGTGGAAATGGAGTGCATGGAGGAAGGATATCTAGCAAAAATTTTGCGTGGGGATGGATCAAGTGGGATCAAAGTTGGTGAGGTAGTACTCATCTGAATGAAGTTTTCTTATTTCACAGTAGTGCGATGTATTAACATATGTAGGATAGATCAGGTCCATTAATAAAACTACCTGATTGATTAATTTAGATTGATATCCTTGTGATGCCCTTTTCAGCTATGCGTGTTTGCTTAATGGTGTTCACTTATATGGCTTTTATTTCATTCTATAATCTCCACTGTTTTTTGACACTGGATGTTAGAATATCTGATTTCAGCTGGTTCAAGTTGAGATTTTTTTTTTTTTTTTTTTTT